GCACCCATTCATTCACCCACTCTCATTCACACACCCACCCATTCATTCACTCACTCTCATTCAGACATTCATTCACCCACTCTCAGACACCCCCCCCCCATTCATTCACCCACTCTCATTCACACCCCTCCCCCCATTCATTCACCCACTCTTATTCAGGCACACACTCATTCATTCACCCACTCTCATTTAGACACACCCACCCATTCAATCACCCACTCTCATTCAGGCACACATTAATTCACCCACTCTCATTCAGACAAACCCACGCATTCATTCACCTACTCTCATTCAGACACACCCACTCATTCTTTCACACATTCCCATGCAAACACACACACTCATCTATAGAGGTTTTTTTGGGTGGAGGTCACGGGGCAGACCCAGGTGCCATGGGTCGACTGACTGAGATGACTGGCCGATACACCACCTGTGCCCCCTATTGTGCCAACTTGCTTTGCTTTAGCCACCCGGCGCTCCGCTTGTTGTTCTGAGCGTCGCTCCTCCACCCTCCTTAGTTGTTAGAGGGCGACTGCCTCCAACTGCCCAGTAGCGTCCTTCACGAGCCTCCTCCACAGAGGCCGATCTTGACACCGCTGGTACCAGTCATTGGCAAGTCCACTTAGCTCCACATCCTCCTGTACCACATCACTCCATCTCTTCTCTAGCCCGTGCCGCGCCCGTTTAGGCCCCTCAAAGCGGGCCGAACAAAAGCTGTTTAGGCATGCAGTGGCTGGGCATTCGGGCTACATGGCCCAGCCAATGCAGCCTTGCCTGCCGGAGGAGCTCACCGATGGGACTTTGTCCAGATCTTTCAAGGATTTGTGAGCTCACACAATCCAGCCTGGTTAAACCCAGGATGGACGTAGGCAGGCCAGCCTAAATGTTTCTAACCGGCGAAGATGTTCCATTAAGGGGGTCCACGTTTCGCAAGCGTAGAGCGACAGACCAGGTAGCTTCCACACAGCGTTACGCAACTGATAAAAAGAATGCCGGAGTGAAACCTCTGCTGTTAAACTGGAGCCAGTCATGAGCACACTGCCCAGGTATAGGAAACTCTCCACTCTCTCCACAACTGCCCTATGACCAATTGGGAGTGTGGGGGTGGAGTGTCCGATGGTACAAAATACCCAGGAAGGTGCTTAGTTTTGGTGGGGCTGATGGTAAGGCCCTGCCTCTTAGTGGCAAGCTCCAGGTTCAGCAGCAGTGCCTCCAACTCCTCCTCTGAGTGAGCAGCAATTACCAGATCATCGGCATACATAACATGGTTGAGCAATAGGGAGCCATCCCTTGACCGTACCCGGGCATCGACCAGCCTTCCATTGTATCTGTACCAGATGGAAATTCCTCCGGTACAGCTATTGAAGGCTTCACGAACTACGTGGTCGAAATAGATGTCAAATAATGTGGGAGCCAAAGGACATTCCTGCCGCACCCCAAGCTGTACAGGGAATGGCTCTGACTCCCATCCACGTAGTTTTACTCGGGCCTGCTCACCATCATGAAGGTCCTTAATGATCGTGAGCAGAGGGTCAGGGACTCCGAAAGCATGAAGAACAACCCAGAACCGAGGTCTACTGATGGTATCATAGGCCTTGACCAGGTCAATAAAGCAGAGATGTAGGTCTTGTTGGAATTCTTTACACCTCTGCTGTAGCAGACGGACAGAAAATATGGCATCTGTGCAGGACCGCCCTTTCCTGAAACCGCATTGGGGCTCCGCAAGCCTCTCCTTAGCGTGCCTAGCAAGGCAATGTTGAATAATCCTTGCCAAGACCTTTCCCGACACACTGAGGAATGAGATGCCATTGTAGTTGTTACAGTCTGTGCGGTCCCCCTTCTTAAAGAGGGGGACCACCAGGGCATCCTTCCAGTCCTGCAGAACCCATCCAATGGTCTAGACTGTTGTTATGATGTCATGTAAGGCAGTATGTGCACAAACGCCACCCTTCCTCAGCATTTCGCTTGGGAGATCATCTCTGCCCCGTGCTTTTCCTGGTCTCAGACTCCGGATCGCCTTCAGTACTTCCTCATCAGATGGCACCTCAGCCAGCCACTCACAGGGGGTGACTTCTTCCAATATTTGATGCACCGCAGCCTCGACTGGGTCATCCCCACTTTGTCCCACGTTATCCAGGCTGAGAGATGTCCCCTCCCCCAGGACCTCAAAAATGCTCAGCAAATATGAAACCTGTTCCTGGGGGTCGGAGATTGGATCACCATCCTTTCCCCTAATGATGGTAATATGTGTGGCGCTGCAGGTTACTTTTTTGATGGATTTAAAGAGCGAATTGTGATCGCGGGCCATTGAGGCAGACTCCAACTCCTCAGCAACCCGCGAACATCATCCATCCTTGCAGCGCCTCACGGCTCTCCGAACCTCCGAGCGAAGGCTGCGGTAAGCCTCCTCATTCTCCAATGTGGGATGCTGTAGCCGACGAGAGTGGTCCTGTCGCTTTTTCTCAGCCAGCTTGAACGCCTGCTCTGTCAGCCAGGGTCTCTGGGTCTGGACCGTGTACCCAAAGCAGCCATTGCAGCTGCATGAGCCACAGTCCTAAACGTCGCCCATTTCCCCTCGACATCAGGAGAAGTGGGGGACGATGCCAACCCCAGCAGCAAGCGATGATGAAATTCTCGCTTATAACTTTCATCAGCTAGCTGAGACCATGCCACTAAGGGTTTTAATGGGGTCCTGGGTGTACACTCACCACTGGAGTGGAAGAATGGCAGGCGCATGTTACAAATGACAAGTCGATAGTTAGTGGGCAAATCAGCTCCACGGTAGGTCTTGGTGTCAAAGATATGGGCCCGCATCTGCTGTTCCGTCACTATGTAGTCCAGCAGATGTTCTTGCTTGGACCCGGCATGCATCCATGATGTTGTGTGGATGCGCCCATGCTGGAACAGCGTGTTGGTAATTACAAGGTTTACAAGGCTATAGCCTGCACAAAAATCTAGCAGCCTCCTGTCGTTGTTATTGAGCTGATGTGGCCCATGCCTTCCAATCACTTCAGATCAGGTGCCAGTATCATGACCAACTCGGGCATTGAAGTCACCCAACAAGATGACTCTATCCCGAGGGGCCACTTTAGCTAGCACCTATGACAGGAGGAGATAGAAGGTATCTCACGCATCGGCCTAGCCTGCATCCCTCCACGGATGTTCGTCTTCAGTGGGGGCATAAGTAACCACGACCACCACTCCTCGCCTCTGGTTGATGGGAAGGCGAGCCCAAAGTAGCCTGGGGCTTAGAGCTGCCCACACCTCACTGCCACGCTCCCACGCCCCTTCATTATTTTGTTCAGAAGAAGAGCCACTCCCTGTTGTTTGCAGTCTCCTGCCCGAGAAGAGAACTGTCCACCCCTCATGGTGGCAGGAGCCAGAGCTGGTCCACCGGACCTCCTGAATACCACAGAGATCCAGGCGGTACCGGTCCAGCTTCGCAGTGAGCGTTTGAACATTCCACGTGGCCATACGCAGTGGGTTTTTTGTTGTTTCTGGAGGAGCCCCGAGGGTAGAGATTCAGTCTCCTGGCTCCGCCAAATGGGGTTTGGCCATTAGACGTCATAGATGCCTGTTCTCCCGGGGCCTCCGGCACAAGCTTATTAATTAAACATCTCTGTCGTGGTTTAGTGGTAATTAATTGAAGGTGGAGGGGTTACCAGCCCTTTGGACCCATCCAGAGCCCCCTTTTGGCCGCTGTGGTGGTCACAAACGCCATGAGGGGAAAGGCCAATCGGAATTGGCCTTCCCCCCACAGCACTGCCCACGACAGTGTTGCCCGCCCGGCACCACGAGGAGGTAGGGGGTTGTTTAGTGTGTGTGTGCTAGAACCCATTCATAAATAAGGAAAACTGTATAATGTAAAACAAGAAATGACAAAACTTGGTATAAATTATTTAGGACTGAGTGAAGTTTCATGGAAAGGTAGTGGGCATTCGAGAGGAGTGGAAATGTTGATAGACAAACAGGCAGCACGCTGTCAGGAGATTTTGCAGTGTCTAATTATTGCTTCTGCAAGTGAAATGTATGTATTTTGAACTTCTTTCACACTGTACGTAGCTAACCGTGCTCATCTGAGGTATGGGGGAAGGACAACACACTCAACACTTAAAGTAGTTCTAAGGAAATTCGTTTTAAATCTAGATTTTAAAATGCATAGCGCCAGTATAAAATAAAAAGCATCTGAAAGCGCGATGCAGTGATCATCTTTGATGGCTAGCCAAAAGCTGCTGTGAAGAAATGTAACCCATTTAACATCACGTTCAACTAAACACTCATAAGAGGAACTTATGGAACTTTTTGAGGAGATAGATAAAATTAAAGAACCGTGTACATCAAAGGAGATATGAATTGTAATAGGATACTGAAATTAAAATTTGGAGAGGTTTAAGTAGATGATATATTTTAAACATATGGATCTTAGAAAAATACAACATTTTGTAAAACGGTGCACATTAATGGGCAAATAGTGACAAACGTGGTTTAAAGAACATCGCGAAATATTTTGGACCTGGAAGAGTCCAGGTGGCCGTAGCCTCTGGCACACCATCCACCCCCGAGATAAGGACTTTACTCACATCTCAAGAGCCCAACACCCTCTATCCCGCATAACTTCTTCATCATTCCGAGAGCCATTGCTGCCCTTCATAGCAAAGCCCAACATCCATGACTTCATTAGCTTTGACTGCGCACTGATCACCCTTGAATTCACACTTAACCCTCAAGTGTGGTGCCACCACCGTGGAGCAATCCACAAGCGCCGCGAATCCCTCCCGGCCCCTGCACTAAACACACACCCGCATGCAGCGCACGCACATAGTGTCCTGGTGGGGGATTGCCTGGCACATCGGGTTTTAATCCGAAGGGCCCCTAGAGGGAAAGTCCAACGGTTTCCTGGTGCCAGGAGATTGGCCGACCCTCGCAGGACAGGTTACATTGCGGTGCCCCTAAAATTGGTTTAAAAATTGTGTAGTGAGTCCAACCGAGTCGCAGACGTATTGGGAGCAACACTTTATTTCACCAACTCAACATAACATAACACAACCTACACTTGGGTGTTGAATGCCCATCTAGCCACGCTACGGCAGAACTAGACACGGTTCGCTATCCCTGTCCGGACCACAAGCTGGGTCTCGGACCACGTGGCTAGAGGCTTCTTTAACCCGACGTGGATCTTCTTCACCAGCAACCCAAAAAACCCTGAGCACCTCACGGGGCCTCCGTTATATCGGCCTGGGCTGGGGCTGGCTCCGCCCCTCGCCCCGCCCACCTTCTAGATCTCTCGAGCTCTTTCCCGAAGGCTCCCGAGAGCTCCTCTATACCACGTGCCCGCCCAGCGGCCCCCGTCCACCGGTGGCCCCCCTCCAATATTATCCTGTCACGTGTCGGCAGGTCAACCAGCGTATCATGCCCCAACGTAACCCTGGATGGCTGACACTCCCTCACCGGGACCCCGCACCACACACTGTACGTGGTGCCTCCACGCTGACCAGCGCTCACCCAAGTCCCGCTAGGGCTGGTACTACGCCCAGTAAGCGGGGTACACAATGCCAAAACATTATCCGCCGTTGCTTCGTAAGCCCAGCAACCACACAGTGACATTCACAGTCACTACAATTGTATGGGCGCACAGAAGCTCACCGGGCTAGCCGCAATGAGACGCTCACAGCACGGGGGAGGGGCCAGGGGGGAAATATTACGCCGGCAGTGCAGACGAGGAGGGGGGAGGGAAATCCCTGGGCCACCCCAATCAAACTGGTTGAATCCAGGATGAGGAGGGCGGGTGCGTAGACAATGGGTCGAGGTGTAACAGAAAGTAACGCTCCAGGCAAGGGCGGGGCATCGGTTTAATATCGAAAGGTAGGTGCACGATTGGCCGCGTAGGGTAACGTCACGTAACCCTGGATTTTCGGAATCCCAGGGCATAAAAGGAGGGAGCAAAAAACCGTAGAAGGACTTCTACAGCCGTTCAGTCGTCTGGACCGACTCCCAGCCGCTCGCAGCGTCCGTGAGACGCAAGCAAGTGCAGCTACGAGTCGACCCTAGGCAGAGAGAATATGAATGTTATATTGGGAGTAAACAACAGCCAATAGAGTTTATGGAGATGTTAGTGAATTGTCATACATAAGGAGAGGATACTCTTTGGTTCTTTCGGTAAAGTCACGTAGATAGAAAATTAATTTTAATTGATTAATTTTAATTAATTTTCTATCTACGAGACTTTACCGGAAGAACCAAACAGTATGGATTTCTGCAGTCACGAAAGCTTCATATCAATAAGGAGAGGAGTTTACCCACACACACAAAAGTAATTGATAAGAATTGTATTGATACACAATTTCAAAATGAATACCATTTAAATTGGAATATAATTCATATCTATAACAGCAATCAATAAAATGATGGATATTAGCGGCGTCAAAAACGAGATTGCTGAGATAAACCCTGATAAAAATAAACATGCATACAAAATCATATTATTCCCAACTAACGTTTGAGAAACCTTTATGTACCAAAGCTTAATGTACGTAACTCCCCTGCAAGTGGATACTCTATAGACCAGTGGATTATTAACCTTTGCTACAGCCTTGCACCACTTTGGTTCTTAATCGTGAATTTATTCATAATGTTAATATGTATAGGGTTTGATGAAACAAAGTACGTTGCACTTACGTGCTCATGCTTATTTTGTGTTTCGATGATTTGCCTTCTAAACAAATTTGGCCATGTTTCACATGCCCAGAGGTGCGTGCACCCTAGGTTAAGAGCCACTGATATAGATCAATGCCTTATAGACGACCACTGGTCGTCTACAAGGCAGTGGGAAGTGGTCTGTAGAACTATTGGAGAAATAAATTTTATTTTACAAAGAACCGTATTGTTTAACGCCCATTGCACGAGCCTTTAATATCTAATAAGTACAACTATATTAAAATCCAGTTCATAATTTTATGGCTCTTCAATAATAAAATATCATGCCACTTTAAGGATACATTTAATTTTGCCAAATGTTACCGGTGGTCTGTGAATCTTGTTCAAGGGTAAATATTGATGTGTAGGTCGAAAATGGTTGGGGACCACTGGTCTAGATTACAATTGTGTGTGAAAGAAACCACCATAACCATAGACTCCGGCACGGGAATCTCACATCTTCTTCTGGGCTCTCAGGAAGAGCAGGGCCTGGTGGTCGTTGGTATCATCGGGAGATGGCTTAGGCGCGAGATGCATCTCCAACTCCTGTATGATGAGGCCAGCATCGCCTACAACTTGCCGGATGACCGTCTCATTCAAGCTCAGCACATGGAAGGTCTCGGAGCCAATGTGGTAGAACGTCTCGCCCAGCTCCGTGGCAAGAATGAACCATCCCCCGGGCCGCAGGAGGTGGCAGACGTGGCCCAGTGCTGCCGTGAAATCGCCTATTGATCTGCACGCTGCCTCAAAGCACAGCGTGGAGATGATGCAGTCAAAGGGGCCTTGGCTCCAGGACCTACGGAGACATTATCGTGTGGACAATATAAGCGGAACGTCTCAGAAATGAGACAATGGTGGAGTGGAACAATAATGAACAGGCGGTGCCTCGAGCCACGTCTACTCCCACAAATGTGAATGGGGTTTGCCTTAGTTTGGTCGTCATGGACTATGGGGCGGAGCCATTTGCTTCCGTCTTGGACAGTGAGGGGGTATTTTTGATTTAAAGCTTTCGTTACTGCAGCGATTCATATTCTTGGTTCTTTCGGTAAAGTCACATAGAAGGGAAACAATAAAAATATAAAACAATAAAATTCTCACGACGTTTCGACTGCAACATAAGCAATCATCATCAGGTGTGAAAACCACAGCAAGAAAATTACTTGCTGTGGCCCAAGGCACCCTCGAGGCACCGCCTGTTCATTATTGTTCCACTCCACCATTGTCTCATTTCTGAGACGTTCCGCTTATACTGTCCACACGATAATGTCTCCGTAGGTCCTGGAGCCAAGGCCCCTTTGCATCATCTCCACGCTGTGCTTTGAGGCAGCGTGCAGATCGATAGGCGATTTCACGGCAGCACTGGGCCACGTTTGCCGCCTTCTGCAGTCGCGAAAGCCTACGTGTTAAATAGATTTACTTATGTCTGACATGGCAATTGTTCACAACTGCACCCAATAAAAAAGCTGCTGAGTGAACGGATACAGGGACTGAAGGATTGTTTGATACCATTGAGGGAGCGACTTTGTAGTAAAATATGGACCAAAGGGCTCTGCGGATATGCAGGAGTTTACAGACTCCCTTGAGGTTAGAGATGAGGGCTGAGTCACGTACTTGGCTGACCTATGACCCGTAAAGATGATTTGCTTTTCGGGAGGTTAGAGGAGTTTCCTGAAAGAAGGGAGCACGTGCTTTGAGCCGGTTTGTTGAGGTTCGTGGGAATGTGTTGGCATTTCAGTGGTTGAGGCCATTAATATTGTGTGAATGGACGATTACTTGCGGAAAAGTTTGCAATAGGTAGAGGGTCGGATTGAGTCGCCAACAGTTGTTGACCGAAGGATTCCCACTGATGGGATATTTGAACACTTGGTCTACTTGGGCCACATGAATGCCAAACAAAGTTTACCTGATGTATTGATTTTTTTTTTCAGGATGAGTCACCACTGCGACACTGTTACATTGGATTTATGGCTTTTATTTTGGTGATTTAGAAAAGTTTTTTTTGTTTTGGCCATGTTTTTGTTTATTGTAGTACGGAGTTAGACTGATGGCCTTAATCTTAGTTGTCTTGTGGTTGTTGTTGTTATTTGACTTGCATCCCACTGGGATTTTTGCACACAGAGTTGGTGTACGGTGCTATTTCAGGAATATTTTGATATTTTTTTTCCTGGATTTTCTGTTTGCACAGTCACATAATCACTTTAAGATGTTTTCTTGTTCATGTTTTTTGTTTGTTGCGGTTGCACCCGATTCAAGAGCCGAATGGCTCACAGGGCTATACCAAATAAATGAACTATGAACTATGACACTGTTCTGCACGCGTTGAGATTTGTGCAGGAACTCACCCGAGCAGTGGGTCTTCCTGGTTGACGTCACAGGGCAGCACGGCGCGCACCGCCTTGCGCACGTGCACCGATTTCTCCTCCACCGTTTTTCTGCAGGCAGACACCACCATCGTCGCGTTAAAGCCGGCATGGTTTCTGGAGTTGTGAGCGGCGATTTCATGAAATATCAGAATCAGAATCAGAAAGGGTTTTATTCGCCATGAAAGTTCACACCGACACGGAATTTACTTTGGCAGGATGGTGCATACATTCAACATATAGGAATCTAAAATCTTAAATAAGTTTTAAACAAGTCTTACTATAATAATAAGGGTTAAAAGTCTAACTAACACCAAGGGGCTGAAGTATATAAAATTTAATAAATATCGAATATAAAATAGCTTTAAGATATAATTTAAAAATAAAAAATACAAATAGGTTAACATAGTTAATATCTTTTGATTTAAAGCTTTCGTGACTGCAGTAATTCATATTCTTAGTTCTTTCGGTAAAGTCACGCTAAAGGTAAACAACAAAACAATAAAACATATACAAAACAATACAAATTCTCACGACGTTTCGACCACAACACAAGCAATATGAAAACGTATTTTTTCAGTGATTTTTGTGTTTAGTTTGTTGTTCTTCCCCCGCACCTCCGATTAGGACGGCTGGCTACGTGCCATGGTTGGCTACATGCATACATTTGTATTTCATCAGGAGGGACGAGATGTCTTTACCTGCTACGAAATACAAATAACTGCAGACCCTGCACCTCTGTTGTAATACAAATAATAATTATTTCCACTTAATTACCCAAGACAAGCCCAGTCTCAGGAATGTTTCAGTTTTTCGGGCAGGGGACGATGTTGCTATGTGTAACCTACAGGTATTTTTTTACTGTTGGGATGTTTGGCCAATACGGGTTATATTGGTAGTTTTTTTTAGCTGGAGAAATAATGGACTTCTACCCTCCATATTAAAGGTATGTAGTTATTGTAATGTTTATTTATATTTTATTATGTTATCGTGTAATTTACTGTATTTTGTTCGTGTTTATTGAATGTAATGTTTATTTATGTTTTATTATGTTATCGTGTAATTTACTGTATTTTGTTCGTGTTTATTGAAGAAACAGGCAACTTAGTTAAGCTATGACGAGTCTGACCGCGGCTGTGGTTCCCCTAACCCCCTATTTCCCATAAGCACCTGTAGCTTACCAACCGCGGATTTGCCCATCCCCGCGGTTGGCGAGGGATTTATGTACATTGGTGTAGATTTAATGTTTTTGTGACAATAGGCATTTCATTATTTAGCGGGATCTCCAGGTATAGCTGTCTGAAATGTTAGCACATCAGCTCCCCGGCTCATACCATCGGATTTGCACATGATCTGCTTTTTGTGTTTATTTTCCCTTTTTTGGCTAACTTTCTTGATGTATGTGTCATGATGCCCACACATGCTCTTCCTTTACTAAGAGCCTTAATTATGGACACCAATACGTTTTTTAGGCCCAAACTTCGGCTCTTGATGCACGAACTTCGTCTTCTGTCCAATCGTCCTTCCCCTTGTGCTATCCCCTTTTATATCCCTCGAGACCCCTTTCTGGAAGGTTCGCTCCACCCCCATTTCCCTCAGCCAATCCCCGTCCTACTCCTCCTCCAACGGTTGTCAACCGTCTCCCCGACAGTCAACCCTCGTTTCCTGCCTTTTACGTTTGAATTTCTCTCCCAATCATTTCAATTATCTGTCCTTAGCCAATCCTCTTTGAGACCTCCCTGCACCATTCAGAGGCCTTGACACACTTCCAGACTGTTTGCACGTGCACCATGTGAGGTAGGTGGTCTGTTTTTGGTCTTTGTCTTGTGCACCGTACGTAGCCAACCACGCTAATCGGAGGTGCAAACTGATTGAAGGTGTGATTGAGATGGTGTTGTAATGTTAAGATGGTGTTGTAATGTTGGCCTTCTATCTGGCATGGCACTGAGATATTTTGGGGCGATACATCATTATCTGTTGGCTCGCTCCAGAGAGTGACATATCTTCAATAGGCTATTACAAAACACCGCACCTCTCAAGGATTTTATGTTTTTTTTTGGTCAGCATTTTACTAGCAGGCAGCTAATAGAGAAGATCCGGGCATACAACACAGAAACCGCCAAGGAGCACGCATCGCGAACAGCAGCACCTGTGTCCTTCGAGCCGGCACACAAACTCTATCGTCCTCGTCCAGTCAAAGGCGTCCGAGGAGTGACAGAGCCAGCTCTGCAGCTCTTCCCGGTTGCTCTGCGCATAGTCGGAGAGGTAGATCTCGGGGAACCACTCTGACGCGCTCAGCACCTGGTGAATGGTGGGGCCCGATCCAACGTCCAGGAGGCGCTGACCTCTGATCTCGCCTGGCAAAACAACGGAAATTGAATCATTTGGCGGGACTCCGGGGTCCCGCAAAAATCAGGTCAATAATTATTATTTTTCAGTCCGCCCCACTCGTGATCCCGACAGCAATGCGCCGCCCGCCCAGACTCGCGCCAACAAGCGCCAGCAGGCGGTGATCAACACGATGGGCACCACCCCACCGGCCAAACGCGAGCCCGAAACTTAGTGCCCCGAGTAGCTCTCGACGAGGCCAATCGATTGACACTTAGTTTTGTTGTCGGTAAGGCGAGACTCGTGTCGCTACGCGGTTTTTCCCACCGCGGGGCAGTTATGGGATCCCGGGGTCCTGCCAATTTGCTTCAATTATGGAAATGGTGGAAACGTCATTTTGAAGACTCTATAATAACAACAATAAAAATGAGATAAATTATAAACAACTAAATAAAGATGTGCCACCAGATAAAATATCACAGTTGGAATTAATTGCATGTGTAATAATAATAGAGCCTGCATGCGATGTGAGGGGACTTGTGGCCACGGGAGGTAATGACAAGGAAGCCAGCTTACAGTATGAATGCACTAGTGGCCACGGGAGGTAATGACAGGGGTACCACTTGCGAGTGCGAAGGGATTGGTGGCTACCGGAATGATCGAGAAGGGGGGCGTGGCCTCGTGTTGATATATAAGGGAGATGCGCGGGAGACTTGGGGCTGTTGCAGTGGGGTCTTGGCCTGATGTCAAGTGAACGTATCTTCAATAAAGTGCCATCTCAAGAGAAGTGTATGTATGTATGTTGAACCTCTTTCGCACCGTACGTAGCCAACTGGGTTAATTTCAGGTGCAGGGGGAAGGACAACAAACGAAAACACAAAAAGCAGATCTAAAGAAATTAGTTTTTAATCTAGATTTAAAAGTGCATAGCTCCAGGGCTTCCAAATATCAGAAGGAAGAGCATTCCAGACTGGTCCAAAAGCGCATTTGAAAGGGTGTGATGCAGTGACCGTCTTTGTTCGATGGCTGCCTCGTTTAGCATCGCAACTGACACTTGTAACTCTCCTGTATTTGCCAGCCTTGTCATATGAAAATATGCTTCATCTTACTGTCATACGATCATTCCTTCCATTACGTTTTCCCAAGCTGATATCATCATCTCGACATGATTGTTAAAAAGTGTTGGGGATAATGTGCACCCATGTTGCAATTCTAATCCAATAATTTTATCCTCTAGTCTTTGGATATTTGTACTGTTGCTATTTGACCCATGTACAAATATACAATCAGGCATTTATCTTTCCAGTCCACTCTGGTCGTTAGAGTATGGCAAACAAGATATTCCATTGAATGCTATTTAAATATCAATTGAACAAATGTAAACTTGTGTTAAACGCCAAGCTCCTTACAGAGATTGTTCTCATTCTTCAAATTGCTTATCTTGAGATGTATCCCTTCCATAAATAACAACTTGGCCCTTTGCAATGTACCCATCTGCTTTGCTTTCAATTCTTGATTCAGCAATTTTCAGTATAACATTCGACATGTATGTTATAAAACGAATTGTTCCGAAATCTGAGCAACGCAGCCATGGCTTGGCTCAGACACAGCTAATGGAAATCCTGAGAATGGCTGTGCGCATGCTCAGAACTAGCTGAGTGTAACCCTTTCCAATTAGAATGACGTACAGGTACATATTTTTTTCTTTTGATTCCATTCCTATCACATACACGAATGGAACCAGAGGAAAGATTTATATAAAATAACTTTATTGGTATCGAGGCTCCCACAAGGCCATGTGGGAGGGCGTGTGGCACAGTTTGGTACCAGCTACCATAGAGTATGGCGGTCATGTCGCTATAGTTCTCTTTGCTGAGTACGTCTTTAAAAACAACGGTGCTACTGTGCCTCTCTAAATACAATCAATGCTGAACTGCTCGCGCGTTCCGAGATTCAGCGGGTGAAATGGATGAACCCACACCCTGCAACTTGCAGACGTCTCGGAACAGGAAGGTGTTAAGCATGTCTTTTTGAGCTTGGCTCATTTGAGCCAGAGCCAAGCCTGAGCCGGGCCATGACTCAGAATTCAGGCTTTTGAATACTTCACCATTGTTGAAGGTTGAATGCAGGAACTGCAGGAGCTCGGGGAAGAAGTCTCTCTTGGGCGAATCCTCCGGTGTTGTATTGTAGTACGTGTCCAAATACTCCCGCGCTTTGAAGTGTGTAGCATAGTCCTGGCCGTATCGCTTGGTAACGTTTTGACCTTCCATTTTTGTCGATCTTTTAAAGGACAAAAAGGTGGTAGTCACACATTGGGCTTGCTGGTACAAGTCTGTGATTCATTGGTTTACAGGTAGGATGGCAAGAAAATACATCCAGTGTGCGTTTTATGTATGTGTAATGAGATAGTGACATCTACTGGTTATTAACGGAAAGCACGGGTACAGGCACCACTATAAACATTATCCAATCCCCGAATGGAGAGGTATCTGGGGCAAAGGTGAAGGGTGGGGCCTGTTGTATATATAGGTGTTATGATAATTGATGAAAATAATGAAAATTAAATGAAATTAGAAATTTGCATAAGTTATCCGAAATTATGTTAATTAGTGTAATTATGCGCATAAATTATGCTGCTTCGAGAGATAATCGTATTAATTTATGCGAGTGGGCGTGGTTAGGATAATGCGGGTCATTATGGATTATCAGGTCGAGCCTCGGTGACTAGGATTGTGTTATGAATTGGAATGACGCAATTAATCGTATGCAGTGACGCAGGCGTTGTGAGCGTGAATGAGAAAGAGTCGTTTCGACTCTGCTCTTTAATTCCGTATTATCGATAAGGATACGATTACTTTCGATTGAACATTACGAATTATGTGTGTTATGGATTATGTGTGGTGATAGTGTGCTTCTGATAGGTCCCCAGGATTCAGATCTCATACGCAGGACAATATTATGCAGAATTTCAGGAAGAATCACACACAAACCTTCTGTTTTGATCAATTTTATTTTCTAGCTAACTTTAATTTTTGGATAATATGAAAACTCAATCTCGGGATGTTGGAATTTCAACACAGCGTTAACATGATACCATCACGATTGCGTTGTTTCACCTCGATAGCGGCACCTGTGGTTAATTCCCGACGCGTAACGCAATCGATCGGTTGTTGAGAGAGAGATTAAAAACAAGCGAACTATTCTATCAAAACCTTATAATATGCAAACTCGTATTCTTGAATGATTACACAACACGGCACTCGGTCTTTGATTCGTATCCAATCCTTAACACATTCTGATATGCGAAATTATTATGCTTGAAATCGTCAGCACAGTACCACGGCGATGTTCGTTCATTGATTCATCAACGATTATGCGTTCGACTGAAATAATTCTGATTGCCTCATCAAAGTAACTCAACGGGTGGCGATGTTTTTCGTTATCAGCTAATAGTTGATGCAGTTATCATGAGTCTTGTATGTTTAATGGGAGCGTTGTTGATTTCTTGCGTTGAGCAAACGCCTAGGTTGATTTCCTTGTCAAAAAATGTTTGTTCGTTGTGTAGCGGTGGGGGAGTGAGGAGGGGGGGAGAGTGTGGGGGGCATACGAACGACTGCCAGTTTCTGTCCACCGCTGGCTGGATGAGTCAGCACGACGCTCGCCGTCGTCGCGCCGATGGGTGTTGAGTGCAGGACCGCTGCCCTCTCAGCCCTGGTGACGCGAAGTTGCACGCTGTAGCACGCTGGTGGCACGCTGTTGGCACGCGCTGGTGCTGGTGGCACGCTGGTGGCGCGCTGTTGGCACGCGCTGGTGCTGATGCTGATGGCACGCTGGTGGCGCGCGCTCCCTCTCCTTGAAGATGCGCGAACGCGCCCGTGCTGGTTCGCTGATAGCAGTTTCTCTCCACTGCTGGCTGAGCTGCTGCACGCTCTTGCTTGGCGTTGCTGGCCGCGCTCTTTCTCCTCGAAGATGCGCGAACGCGCCCGTGCTGATTCGCTGACAGCAGTTTCCTCCACTGCTGGATGAGCTGCGCCGGTGCGCGCTCTTTCCGCTGCTGTAGTATCTGACGCTGCGCTCGCGGGCGACAGGTCAAGTTTTTCTTCTGCTGCGTGAGCCGAGTCGCACGCGCTCTCTTTGTTGAGGTTGTTGGCGGCTCTCTGACAGCAGGTTTCCTCCACTGCTGTATGACTCAAGTCGCACGCGCTTGGTCACTGGTTTGCTGAAGTTGTTGGCGGCTGCTCGTGCTTTTCCGCTGCTGGTTGAGCCACGTTGCACGTGCTTTCTTTGTGGAGATGCTCGAGCGCTCTCAGCGCTGATTCGCTGATACTTTGTTGGCGGCTGGCCAAGCTTTTTCTTCAGTTGAGTGAGTGGAGTTGCACGTGCTCTCTCTGTTGAAGTGCGCGAACGCGCCCGTGCTGGTTCGCTGACAGCCTGGTTGCTGTGTGTGGGGTGGGGTGTGTCTCCTCATCAAACCCGGCTGGCTTTTCCAGATGGCCCCTTGTGATAAGGTGTAATTCCTGCTTCCCCGCTCTTGCGAGAGAGACAAAGGTGGTCGGGGTTGCTTGGGATATTGTTTAAACTCTTTCGCAAGTTTGCCCGTTGTCTCATTCCTTCTCGAAAACCTTTGATGTGACTGTATTTTGTCTCCAAGCTTTGTTTTAACAGTAAAAGTATTAAAGGTGAAAATCATTTGATAGCGAATTAATTATTGGATAATTATTCACTGATGTATCTGGTGGCCTGGTCTTAATTGGAATGAGCACGTGGACCGCTAACTTTAGCTTATTCTTGTTATTGCATTTTAAATTTTAACCGTTGTTTAAAAAAAAATATGGTTTAACCCGTGGGCGTCCTCATTTCTGGCTTGCGGAGGGCTTCCCTCTGCGTGACCTCCCTTAGGGCACATCAAACTCTTGTTCATCTGGAGATCTTCGCAGATAGCTGCTAACATCCTCACCTCGAGAGTTTTATTATTTCTTTATTTATTAATGGCCTGTTTATGACCGACATCTGGTTTTTCGTGTGCCTGGCTTACGGGTTTTATTGATTAATTTTTTTGTTTGTAAAAAAAAAATGACATATAACGGCAAATATTATTGTTAATATCAATTTTGGAAAAGGCTCATATACAACAGGCCGGCCGAGAAACTCTGAGGACCGGCCAGAAAGTTCCACGAGAGGGCGTGGCAGGAGGCGTGGCCTAGCGAGTGGGATAGGTAATGTTTCTGAACCAGCAAAGGTTCGGGAGGCTCAGGCAGAAGAGTGACCAAGTTCTGTGGGGTGTGTAAGGCACCACACTCGACTAAGGAGACACTGGGGGATTGATCACCCGCGAGGTTCTCTGAACTCGTGAAGCGAGTCGCTATCGAGCTGTCACAAGGAACAGAGTGCTTGCGGTATAGCTGGGTTCAGATGCTGGGTCGTCTTGTTCTGGTGTTGTAGTGGAAATGTTTGGTGATTTATTTAATAGAAGAAGACTGATAACCACTTTCCTGAATGTTTTTTTTTTTAATGGGAGTGACACAAATATCGTGTGATTCAGGAGGGGTGAATGTCGCCATGTGAACTTACCTGTGACGTATCGCACGTATACGTGTGCGCTCTGATACGTGTTGCTGTAATTGCTACGGAGTGCCAGGTGCGTTTTTTTTTATTATAAGTGTGTCAGCGAGTGGCGAATGCTGTCTACTGAGTTTCAGGAGAGTGGTGTGTCCGGTGTCAGCAGCGTAGTGTCTGGTGTCTACCAAGTGGTGAGGTGTCAGATGTGTCTGGTAAGGGGCCAAGTGGATGACTGGTGAGTAACATCGTGGGCATTGGTGAGGTATCTGGTGAGTGGTATCTGGGTGAGGGTCAGATGTCACAGGTGAGTGTCTGGTGGGTGGGTGACTGGCAGCGGTGTGAGGTGAGTGGTGAGGCATCTGGTGAGATTGTCAGATGGTAAGTAGTGTCAGGTGCCTGGTGAGAGTATTGAGAGTGGCCAACAGAGGAGGGTAGAGCCCGTGGCGGAGAAACTGGTAAGGGGAGAAGAGGTGAGTGAAGGGGGCTGAACCGATGGGGAAGATAAGACAGACTGCCCTCTAGTTTTTAATATAGTTAGACACATAAACAAGTGTAATTTTTGTTTGTTCATTATTTCTACAGGTAGTTATTTGTTTGATTTAAGAATGATTAAGGAAGTTGTGAATCGAACATTTTGGTGGAATTTTTTTCTGAGGTATGTTTCTGAACAAATGATAAACGGGATTCCATATTCAGGTCTGAACGAGCTGATACGGGGGGGGGGGGGGGGGGTATTGAGCAGTGTGGTGTTTTGTGTCGTGTGTACAGGTGTATGTTGAACTTCTTTCGCAACGCATGTAGCCAGCCGTGCTAATTGGAGGTGCGGAGGCTGATGCAGTGTAGCAGGTCGCTATTGCTAAGAGACACAAATGCTTTCTGAAACGAGGTCAATTTTGAAAAAAAATCTTGCCATCACAATGGCCCACCCGCGTTCTCTAGTTTGTGCAGCTGTCCAGACATCTCAAATAGCCTCTTTCTCACGGAAGTGGACGAGAAAACGCAACACAAGTTAACATCAAGTATGTGCGTGTGTGTTTTTAAGTGATGTGGTACAGGAGGACGTGGAGCTGAGTGGACTTGCCGATGACTGGTACCAGCGGTGTCAAGATCGGCCTCTGTGGAGGAGGCTCATGAAGAACGCTACTGGGCAGTTGGAGGCAGTCGCCCTCCAACAACAACGGAGGGCGGAGGAGCGACGCTCACAACAACGAGCGGAGCGCCGGGTGGCTAAAGCACAGCAGGTTGGCACAGTAGGGGGCACAGGTGGTGCATCAGCCAGTCATCTCAGTCAGTCGACCCGTGGCACCTGGGTCTGCCCCGTGACCTCCTGCCAGCGGGCGTTCGACACTTTACGTGGCCTCAAGGTGCACATGGCCTGGCACAAGCGTCGTGGTGACGTCACCGCCACTTAGTGGCGAATGGCGGTTGTTGTTTTTTCAGCCAGCATATTTTTACAATCACGGCAGAAGATATATAGGACCCATCACATGCCGCAGGGCATGTTGTGAGGCACGCCTATGCATTTGTAATGAGATACTTCCGTGAAACGTCGTGTAGAGGTTACTTCTTCTTTTATTCATATACGGGCACAACACAGGCCAACCTTATCCCTCACTCTGACTACAACACTGGCTGTTAGCGTCTCTACAGGCTACACACACACGGCCGGTCACTCGGCGTGGTTCCACCGCCTGCACTCGGCCACGCCGTTGGCTGGTGGCGTGCCGGGGAGGGTGATGCAAGCCGCAGGAGATCTTCCACGTGGCCGGACGACAAAGAGAGATGACGGCGAGCGGCGGCGCAGTCTGGACCCAAGACTCCACACACGAATCCCGAGTCCTCCTCCGTTCCCGCTTATATCACCCCAAGCGCGGGCAGGCTCCGCCTCCGGCCACGCCCTATCGTGGAACCTTCGAGCAGGTTTCCGGGGCATCTCGGCCAGCCCCGCCCATTACCTTTGCCCCAGATGCCTCTCCCCTTCAGATTGGATGTTGTCTTAGCGGTGCCCGTACCCGTGCTCCCCTTTTCTAACCAGCAGATTACACATTCATTGTGATCATTCGGCGTCGTGAAACTAAGAATTTACATAAAGAGGGTAAAATGAGTTCACTATGTTCTCAGATTATTAAGCATAGACAAACATTCGGATGTTTGATTTTCATTTGTGTGCCCGAGTGGCTTTTTACATGTACACGCTAATTGCAGATTGATTATTAGTCATGTGTTATTCACCAGAAAATACCACGTGCTGTATACTTGAGTGGACGTTAAGGATTCCGTGACATCATTCGAAACGAGTCACAGATATCTTCTTTGGTTCTTTCGGTAAAGTCACGTAGAATTAGAATAAAATAATAAATTGATAAAATAAAATAACACAATAAAATTCTCACGACGTTTATTTTATTTTATCAATTTATTATTTTATTCTCATTCTACGTGACTTTACCAAAAGAACCAAAGAAGATGAATCCTTGCAGTCACGAAAGCTTTAAATCGAAAGAGTTACAGATAATCGCAAGTTTAACCAAATTCGACAAAAAATGTACCCGCAAATTATCGAATTGCGATGACAGGTAGCAACATTATCCCCATAGTCTGAAACGTCCGCACACTACACCTGTGAAACGTTAGCGCCTTCCTTCATGATGATAACCTGGCACTATGAGAATTGCGACAAAAATACCAAAAAAAGCACTAAATTACTATTATTACGCATGTTCCAAGTGGTACGTGCATGTGATGAATGTTGTACAAGTACAGTAGTTGGCCCATTTTAAGTATACTTCTGTGTTGCAAAGGACAGGCTGGACTGCACTAATGATCACTCAGGATTGTCACTTTTCTGGTTTTGGTCTTGTGACAGTTTGGAATTTTTGGAATGAATAAATGAAATATGATTTATTGCCTTAGGTCAAAAGATATTTTTTCATTTTGTCTTGCCAAGTCAGCTCAAAGCTCCAAATAGCTCTCCCATCGCGCCCTCCCTCCAAACGCAAATTATTTAAGCAAGAATGTTGAATGTTTTTATGTTTTAGACGCCTTCATGAAAATGAGTGTGATTTTTGCGGAAAGTGATGTAGTGACATCCAATCTCTCACGAACGAAAAAACTTTAATTACAAAAATATGGAAATGATCGAAAGCATTGGTAAACATAGAAGATAATGAAATAAGCTCTCACCAAGTCTATGTACAGCACCCCCCAATTAATTGACCTTTAACTTTTTTCCCTTTACTTATTAATTTGTGTGTTCATACAGTGTTACGTTAGTTTAACACGTCACCTTTCGCGAACACTATTTTCCATAAATTTTGATTTAAAGCTTTCGTGACTGCAGTGATTCATATTCTTGGTTCTTTCGGTAAAGTCACGTTGAAGGGAAATAATAAAATAAAATAAAAAATAAAACAATAAAATTCCAACGACGTTTCGACTGTAACACAAACAGTCATCACACCTGATGATGACTGTGTTACAGTCGAAACGTTGGAATTTTATTGTTTTATATATATTTTATTATTTTATTGTTTCCCTTCAACGTGACTTTACCGAAAGAACCAAGAATATAATATTTTCCATAATATATGTTTTTTGTTGTTGTTAGATAGCCATTGTTATTTATATGAAAACATGAATGCCCTCCTCTGGTCCTTGCACCTGATTGGCTCACAAGTGACGACGTCACATTTATCCATCTAAAGACCGAAACAGGAGGAGGATTTTTCCACAAGTCTGGCTGTCGCCTGATGAGGCTGGTTGCAATTACCGACGAAATGTCGTACTCGAATTGTAAATGTTGTGACAAATCTTAATTGTTGTTACGTGTAAAACCTTACTAGTTGGCTGTGTTGGTTGGTGGTGGGTTTAACGACGCATTCATATTTACGCGATCTAAGCCCCCCAAAAAACTCTATGGACAGTATTACGTTTTAGAGAATTCAACGGTGGTCACACGATATCTGCAGCACCCAGTAGAAGAAGCTTCCACACCGCACCCCCCCCAAGCCCAAAAAGTGGATTAGAGACACAAAGGCACGAATGGACAAATGGAATGGAGAAACGATTAGCTATTTAAAGTATCTGGCGTACAGGGTGGCGCAGTCGTAGAATCTGCACCACATAGCAGGACGGTACCTGGATTCAATTCCCGACCAGGGGACATTTTTCTGTGTGTGTAGTTTGAATGTTCGCTCTCTAAAACTAAACAAAAAAAATACTTTTTGATTTTACCAGGTAAAGGCCACTGAGCTATGTAGCTCTTTTTCAGAAGCGACCTGGCCACAAATGATAGCTCTACGAATTCGCTTATCGTGTGGAAATGTATAGCAGCCAAATACTCTAAACCGCACGTTTATTATAAATGTGGAGGGAAAAACTGGAGGACCCGGAGAAAAAATCCATGCGACTATGGGGAGAGGGATATGCAAACGCCAAATATACAGCAGGCATCAGGATCGGGATTTAACGCACAACTTCATGTATACCAGGCGTAGCTAAAAAACAATGTACTGACATTGGCCAAAGCATCCAATAATGAAAAAAAGTACATGTGCAAATGACTCGATAGTGATTACACACAGCATCAGTAACAACAACGCCCCACTACTGCGACAACGTATTTCGCTTCCATCAGGAGCATAAACCATCATCACGAAAACTCCGACCATCCCCGCTTTCAGATGCGCTTCTGCGGCCGTCTGGAACGCTCTTCCTTTCGATATCAATAAGCCACTGGGACACTGCATTTTTAAATCTAGCTTGAAAAAAAAATACTTTAACCCGATTTTTTTGTGTTTAGTTGTCCTTCCATCACACTTCCGATTAGTGTGGTTGGGCTACGTACGGCGTGAAAGAAGTTCAACATACACACAGTATAAGAGGTAACTTGGCAGACCTGTAATTATTTGGATACGCCACTGCTAGCAGAAAGGCTTCACTAGAGGAAGCTCTAGAGATCCCCACCTCTGGAGAGGTGCATTGGCCTACTCTTCCACGCTGACCCGGACGTCTTGAAAAAGGTGGGAATACGCACAATTTATGCAAATCACAAGCAACATTGGCACTGCTGGGTGGACAGAAGCGAGGGGGTATTTAAGTAGATGACACATTCAATTGCCGCGCCGAGAGATCGAACCGGCGACCTCTGGTTTGCAAGTTTAGCGTTGCTTTCCCAACTACACCGCGTCAAAATATCAGCGCGGTTGTCTACGTACGGTGCGAAATAAGTTCAACGTAGACACGCACGTTGTAATTGATTCACATCAACCAGCGCGCAGCCGCTTAGAGGATTTTACATTGACAAAACCACGACAGCAGATTCTTGAATCAAATGGCAACCCCTGAATCGTGACAATTCATAGCGTGGTTAAATTTCGATTTAAAGCTTTCGTGACTGCAAGGATTCATCTTCTTGGTTCTTTCGGTAAAGTCACGTAGAATGGGAATAAAATAATAAAATAAAATAAGACAATAACATTCTCAGTGAGAATTCTCAGTGAGAATTTAATTGTCTTACTTATGAGGAGGACGATTGCGTTACGTGCCTAACTGAGCAAGTGAGATCATATGTATGTACGTGTGGATCGATTGAATGAAAACTTACAGCGTCAGATGGTGGCAGCGGTGGTGGTGGCAGAAACGATGCGTGGCCAGATGCATAAAAGGCACATCTCACTCTGGGCGCATCGCTCTTAAATCCTATTTTTCGTTGACACCTCCCACACGACCAGTGCCATGTAAGCATATTCCACTTCATGAGTGCAGGTAAGTGAACCTGAACGACTCGCAGAGTCGCTGCAGGGCAATACTTCTGATGTGCACCGCCTGCATTTCTGCAATACTTCGGGAATTTTAGGTTGGGTTTGGTACATCCAATGAAGACTTAGTGGTTCTTAAGGTAAATAATCGAAAACACACAGGCACGCAAGTCCAACTACTTTGTACCATCAAACCGATGTATTTATTAAGGTAATTATTTGTATGATTGAGAACCAAAGGAATGCCAGGCTGCAGTAAAGGTTAAGAATCACCACTGCACTAAGATTGTTATCTACTCTGAAGCTCCCACCCAGCCCGTTGGCGATGCAACCGTGCATAGTTATCAACACCAACAAATCTGACCATTTGTAGAAGTATTTTTTTTGTTTAAAGTTAGCTGCATAGGCGAAGGACATATCTGTCGAAACTAAACTTTTTCTTTTATAATAAAGTATTAAAGCTTTCGTGACTGCATAAAATTACTCATTGTTTTTTTTCGGTAAAGTCACATATGTAGAATTACAATAAAATTATATTAAAACAAAAAACAATCACGACGTTTCGATCACAACGCAAGCGATCTTCATCAGGTGTCAAGAACAAATCACGGAGGTAAATACAACAAAAAGATGAGAGACGAGAATTCAACAAACCTGAAAAAACATTACGTGAAGCACAACCAGTCAGGCCAACAACACAGTTAGACACTTCCTGGCGGACCACGAATTTCAGAAGAGTGTTAAATTTCGTGTTCAACCTTTGGATTGCACATACCAGCATAGATCCAAAGGTTGAACACGAAATTTAACACTCTCCTGAAATTCGTGGTCCGCCAGGAAGTGTCTAACTGTGTTGTTGGCCTGACTGGATGTGCTTCACAAAATGTCTTTTCAGGTTTGTTGAATTCCCGTCTCTCATCTTTTTGTTGTATTTACCTCCGTGATTTGTTCTTGACACCTGATGAAGATCGCTTGCGTTGTGATCGAAACGTCGTGATTGTTTTTTTTAAATATAATTTTATTGTATTTCTACATACGTGACTTTCCCGAAAAAACCAATGAGTAATTTTTATTTTATTTTACCAGGTAAGGTCCACTGAGCTTTACAGCTTTTTTTTTCAAAAGTGACCTGGCCAAAAATGATCGCTCAACGAAGTGGCTTAGCAAGTGGAAATGTATAGTAGCCAAATATTCGAAACGCAGGTTGATTCAAAATGTGGAGGGGAAAACCGGAGGACCTGGAGAAAAAATCCACATGATCACGGGGAGAGAGAGAGACATGCAAACTCCAAATATATTGGCGTAAAGTTCAGGATTGAACCACGACTTCCTGTATACCGAGCGAGGTAGTTAACGTCTCACCACTGTGGCCGCCCCTGTAAGGATGACAGGCTGCTCATGAATACATGTCTGCAAAGTTGCAGGAGTTTTATATCAGTCAATCGTTTTTTTGCAAAAAATGTAAAATATACCGTTCCTAATTTTACAGATTTATTTTGATATTTCACGGGAATATTGCGTTCTCATTTACAATTAAAATCTGCTAATTGATGGGGGGACGGGGGGTTCTTAGTATATAAGATGGACAACACCTCCACAATGAATACGATTGTATTGTGCAACTTACAAAATCCTGTTACTAAATATTTAAGTTAACAAAAAAGTACTCTAAAGCAGTGATTTGAAACCGCTGTGCAACCGGCAAGGTCCCCCGTGTGTGCCGCGGCATTTTAGAATTGATCAACAAATGAAATAAAACATAATTGCCAGGCAAACACATAGACACACGGACATCAACGTAAAACAATTGTATAGACAGATACACACAGACACATGTAAATGAACACAGAGAGACAAATAAATAATCCAAATTAAACGATGTAATGGACGAACAGACACGGCCATCCTAACAATTACTGATGCAACGCACAGACAAGACAAAGATCTTCCGCATAGCCTTAACAGACTGTTGGGGCAAGTGCTGTTAGCGAGTAAAACCTATGAAGGCCGGCACGGCACACGAGGGGGTGTTTGGCCAACACCACGCCCGGCTGCCTTTGTCTCCCCAGTGGCTGATGTTTATACACCACACTAGGCACTCATTTGAGGCTGAGTCGACCTAGGGGAGGCCCAGGACCGGTTCAGATAATCGTCACTGGTGTTGGCCGTGAATCGAACGTGGGTCGCCCCGGGTTGGGAGTGCAGCGCGCTAGCCGCTACGCCATCACTCCCCAAACGCTCGCACAACAGCAACAACAACAACACCACTCGCCATTCGCCACTGTACCAGGCCAGGTGCACTTTGAGGGCACGTGAAGTGTCGAAGGCTCGCTGGCAGGAGGCCACAGGGCAGACCCAGGTGCCACGGGTCGACTGACTGAGATGACTGGCCGATGCACCACCTGTGCCCCCTACTGTGCCAACCTGCTGTGCTTTAGCCACTCCGCTCGTTGTTGTGAGCGTCGCTCCTCCGCCCTCCGTTGTTGTTGGAGGGTGACTGCCTCCAACTGCCCAGTAGCGTTCTTCACGAGCCTCCTCCACAGAGGCCGATCTTGACACCGCTGGTACCAGTCATCGGCAAGTCCACTCAGCTCCACGTCCTCCTGTACCACATCACTTAAAAACACACACACACACGCACATACTTGCTGGAGGAGCTCACTGATGGAAAAGCGTCCAGATCTTTCTAGGATGTGTGAGCTCCTCACACAACGCAGCCTGGTTAAACCCAGGATGGATCGCAGGCAGGCCAGCCTGAATGTTTCTAACTGGCGCATAAATGTAGACATTGTGGAATTCCCTACACGTCTGGAGTAGCAGACGTACATAGAATTTGGCATCCGTAAAGGACCGCCCTGGTCTGGAACCACATTGGGGCTGCGCAAGCCTCTCCTCGGCGTGCCTGGCAAAGCGATGTTGGATAATCCTTGCCCAGAACCGTTCCCGGCACGCTGAGGAGAGAGATGCCCCTGTAGTTAAAATATGTCCGGTCGCCCTTCTTAAAGAGACGGACCACCAGGGCATTCTTACAAATCCTGCGGAACCTGTTTTGGCGTCCAGACAGATCTGAAAATGTCATGTAGGGCAGTTTGCACACAGATGCCACCCACCCTCAGCATTTCACTTGAGAGATAATCTCTGCCCGGCGCTTTTATTGGTGTCAGACTACGGATCGCCCCTCGTACATCCTCCACAGATGGCACCTCGGCAAACCACTCAAAAGCGGTGGCTACTTGAAGCAATATTTGAGGCACCATAGCCAGAGCAGGGACGTCCCTACCTTGCCCCATGATGTCTGGGCTGAGGGAATTAGCCTCCTCCAAGACTTCATAGAAATGCTCTGCAAACCTGCAGACCAGTTCCTTGCGGTTGGAAATCGGATGGCTGTTCTTTCCTTTAAGGAAGGTGATAGATGAGGAACTGCAAGTTATTTTTTTAATGGCATTAGAGTGATTTGTGATTGCAAGCTACTGAGGCAGATTCCATCTCATCAGCAAAGCACACCCACCACTCATCCGTGCAGCGTTGTACAACTCTCCAAACCTCCGAGTGAAGGCTGCGGTAAGCCTCCTCATTCTCCGATGTTGGCTGTTGAAGAAAACGAGTGCGGGCCTGTCGTTTTTCTCAACCATCCATGACACTGCCTCCTTCAGCCAGGGTCTCGGTGGAGGTCTGGATCGCATACCCATGAACCACATTCCTGAACCTCACTCATTTACCCTCAGCATTAGGAGGAAGGGACAATACCTAGCCCAGCTGCAACCGATGTTGAAATTCCTGCTAGCTAAGACCAGGCTAATTTGGGTTTGAAGGGGGTTCCCAGATGGACACCCACAACTGGAGTGGAAGAATGGCAGGCACATCTTACAGATGATAAGCCGATGGTCAGAGGGCAGATCAGCTCCACGGTGTCAAGGACATGGGCCCGCATCTGCTGGTCTGTCACTATTTAGTCCAGATGTTCTTGCTTGGACCCGGCGTGAGCCATGATGTGTATATGTGTCAACGCCAGAACAGCGTGTAGGTAATTACAAGCCCATGGGCGGCACAAAATTCTAGCAGCCTTCTGCTTTTATTATACTTATTTCCCTCATTAAAATGCAAATCAATTCATACCATTTTTGACATGCGTTTTTCTGGAGTTTTTTGTTGTTATTCTGTCTCTCACTGTTCTAATAAACCTACCATTACAATTATAGACTGATCATTTCTTTGTCAGTGGGCAAACGTATAAAATCAGCAGGGGATCAAATACTTTTTTCCCTCACTGTACGTCCCCACCGAAGATCAACATCAGTAGAGCGATGCAAACAAAGCCGGTGAGTTAATCGTCTTTTATAACCTACTGTCCCAGGTGCTAGCATAAGTGGCCACTCGGGATAGAGTCATCCTGTTGGTTAAATGTAATGCACCAGTCATGACGCATCCTGTGTTTCAGATAGTTATGATGATGTCATGTCGGGCAGTCTGAAAACAAATGCCGCCCTTCCTCAGAATTTCGCTCAGGGCACAAACACACAAAGATCTCCCGCATAGCCTTAACAGATTGTTGGGGCAAGTGCCGTTTGCGAGCACCTATGAAGGCCGGCACGGTACACGAGGGGGTGGGTGGTCAGCACCACGCCCGACCGCCTTTGTCTCCTTAGTGGCGATGTTTTTATACACCACATACTCATTTGAGACCGAGTTGACCCTAGAGGAGGCCCAGACCTGGTTCAGATAATCGTCACTGGTGTTGGTCATAAGCGCGAATCGAACTCGGGTCGCCCGGGATTGGTAGCGCAGCGGATTAACCGTTGCACTACCTTCACACACACAGACACACATGCGTGCGTGCACACTTACTGACACCCAAAACACACAATTCCCGCACGTGCCCCAGGCCACTGTTTTTAGATAATTGAAGCAATTGGCGGGACCCCGGGGCTACCATCACTGTCCCGGGGTGGGGAAAAACCAGCGTAGCGACACGAGTCTCGCCTTACCGACAACAAAACTAGT